CCCCAAAACCCCAAAACCCCAAAACCCCAAAACCCCAAAACCCCAAAACCCCAATGTCTACCAAATAATAGAATAAGTTTTCAAGATTTTGGAAATATAATGACGTATATCCCATTGATATTTATTCTTCACCTTGCAACTTTGCTCCACCGTACATTTCTTTAATTTCGTTCAGATATTTGATCTTAGCTTCGTTACGCTTGACTTTCATTGTAGGTGTCAAGAGGTTTCCTTCGATAGTGAACTCCTCTCTAGTGAAGAAGAACTTCTTTGGGATCTCCATTCCAGAGAACCCGGCTTCCTTCTTAGACTCATTGAACTTCTCCTTAGCAAGGTCTAGCCATTCTGTTGATTTATAAAATTCATCAATGTCGGAAGTGTCCATATCTCTTTGCTCTGCTTCTTTTCTGACCTCATCGTCATCTGGCACGATAATAGCTACTAGTTCGCTTTGGAGAGAGTCGCCATAGATGAACAGTTGTTTGACAATAGGGATTTTGTTGTATTGGTTCTCCAACTTCTCTGGAGCAATGTATTCACCTTGGGCGAGTTTGAAGATATTTTTCTTACGGTCAATGATCTTCAGTGCTCCATTTGGAAGAATAGCCCCAATATCTCCAGTATGAATCCATCCGTCTTCATCAACAGTATCTCTGGTCTTTTCTGGCTGCTTGAAGTAACCAGCAAAGTTGCTATGACCCTTAAATCAGATTTCTCCTCTTGGCATTGGATTTCCATCTTCATCCACGTCAGTGGTAAGATAGTCCATCTCAGGGATATCTATCAATTTAAGCTCGTTGTGAGGCAAAACCCCTCCAACGTGCCCAGCTTCTCCATCTTCTGAGAATGTAAGACAAGAGCCTGCTGCTGTCTCTGTCTGCCCATATCCTTCATAAAATGGGCAACAAAAGGCTATCTTCAAGAAATTAATGACATCCTTGGAAATAGGGGCTGATCCTGTTACCATTAGTCTAACATTTCCTCCAATAGCTTCTTTAAACTTGTTGAAAACAAGTTTATCGTACAACATGTGGGTTGGAGTTCCAGAGCTCTTCAATCTGCTGGTCTTCCTGGAGATTGCTAGCTGTGCTAATTTCTTCTTCACTCCTGTTAAGGCATTAACCTTAGACATCATTCCATCGTAGAATCTGTTGAACAGCCTAGGTACTGACACAAATATAGTTGGTTTGAGCTCAGCAAGGTCTTCTTTAAGTTTTAAAATGTCTCCTTGATAGAACCCAATCTTTGCTCCTCTTCCTAATAAGGTGACGTATACGACTCTTTCTAACACATGTGCTAATGGAAGATATGAAATATGAACGTCAGTTTGGTACAGTCCAACATCAATCTTAATAAGGCCAGCTCCTGGGCAAATAACATTAATATTAGAAAGCTTTACTCCTTTAGGATCTCCAGTAGTTCCACTAGTATAGCAGATGGTATAAATAGAGTCTCTATAAGGGTCTGGCAGCTTCATTTTTATCTCTCTTCCTTGCTCAATTAACTCATAGATTTCGAACACTGAAATTCCTACTTCATCACACTCTTTAGCATCTTCTTCAGTATGTTCATCTAAAATCACCAGGTTCTTAACTGAGTCAATCTTTCCATCTCTCGCTAGTTGAAGCAGGCACTTAATCTTATCCCTGGTAATAAAAATAGTCTTCAGTTGGCATTGGTCCACGATATACCTAGTAGAATCTGATCCAAGTGTATCATAAAGAGTGACGACACTGATGTCTCCAAGAGCACATGCAAGATCGGTAATAGCCCATTCCATGCTATTCTTACCGAATATACCTATAAGTCTCATCTCTTTGTCTTCTTCCTCGACTACGCTGTGTAGTTCTTGGTGATAAATTTTCTTTGCTAAGGAGTCACAGTAGTCATAAACCTCTTTGTAGTTCTTCCATTTGTATTCACCATATGTTTTAACTTCCTCTTCCTTCTTAGTCCTAGGGTTTACTTGAATCTTTGTGCCCGTGACTTCTCTTTTACCGAGGAAATCCTCGTGTGCGAACTTCTCAACAGATCTTAGGAAAGATTTTTTAATCGTGTCTACTCCTGGATAGACCTCACAGACTAAATCTTCATCAGGCTTGAGAGCAATGTGCCTCCATGGTCTAGTCTCTCCTTCTTTTCTAGGGACATCTTCCCTTTCGTATCCGTAGGTTACTTGTGAACCACCCATATTTACTTTTATTTAATGAAATCTATTAAGGGATTTTTTCTCGGGGTTTTGGGGTTTTGGGGTTTTGGGGTTTTGGGGTTTTGGGGTTTTGGGG